TCCCAGGCGGTGCCCGACCCTGGGCTGGGCAGGAGGGAGGCCCCCGGAGCCTCGGCCTCCCTCACGGCCTCCCCTGCCAACCCGGCCGCTCTCTGGACTGATGAGCTCCTGGGCAGGGTCCACAGGTAGGAGCTCAGGGGAGGGGAGCCCTGGGAGCCGGGGAGCACAATTTGGGAACTGCTGCTCTGGGGTGTCACCTCCTCGTGCCTGTCCCTCCCCTCGCGTTCACTTCTATTCCCATTTGAAGGTGTTGCAGCTTGGGGTATCTGTCTCATCCCCATGTAGAATTCTTTCATGCACGGTCCATTTTTTCTAAAAGGATAGCAGCCTTCCTCGAGAGATGTCCTGCTATAGTGAGGCCCTGCTAGGGTCACCCGGAGCGTNTGAAAATGGCTGTTGGCCTCATGCATGGAAGAAGGCTCATTGTGAGACTCTTGGGAACCCCTCCAGCCCAGTTGCTCAATGCACAAGCAGAGGGTGGCCAACCCCCTAGGGACATCCCAGCCAGGATGCTCCTGGGGGCCAAGCCCTCTGCTCACCTCATGACCCACTCTCACCTGCAGAAAGGGGCATTTTTTTTTTGTTGGACAGAGGCTTTGATAAGACTTTTGAGGTAGAGCACCTCTGCTGGCCCATTCCTGAGCCCCAGAGAGGCCTGCCCATCACCCAAATGGGAAACCAGGTGAGTGCTGTCCCATGTACTGCTGTCCTCACTGCCACAGACCCACACCTGAGCCCTGGAGAGGCCCACCCACCACCCAAGAAGGAGCTGAGACAGCCCACTGCACACTCAACTGTATTTATACAAGAAAAGCCACCAGCAGAGCCTACAGATAGAGGAACAAGTCTTTCCCCTGATAGCCCATTCCAGACTAATAGAAGAAACAAACATCCTACCAGATGACCATAAATCAGGGAAAAAATACTAGAACTACAAATAAACAAGAAGATATGGCACCACTGAAGGAATATGGTAATTCTCAAGTACCAGACCCCATAGAACAGGAAACCCTGGAGATGTTTGAAAAGGAATTCTGAGCACTGATCTTAAGAAAACTCAAAGAGATAAGAGAAGAATCAATTAGAGAACACAATAAAACAAGAAAAAACATCCAGGATATGAAGGAGGAAATTTACAAAGAGATTAATACCTAAAAAAGAATGTAACAGAAATTCTAGAACTGAAGGATTCACTCAATGAAATAAAAAACAGAACAGAAAGTTTGAGCAGCAGGCTAGAGAAAGCAGAAGAAAGAATTTCATACCTCGAAGATGGTGTTTTTGAAATAACCCAGCCAGACAAAAAAAAGGAAAAAAGAATTTTAAAAAAGGAAGAATGTCCAAGAGTGCTATCAGACAATCTTAAGCACACAAACATGTTAATCATGGATGTCCCTATTTGCAGATGACATGATTCTATATAGAGAAAAACCTAAACACTCTAGCAAAAA